TTGGGGGATTCAATGTTAGGGATAAAGGTAATATCCCTTAGACAAAGATGGACAGTAGGGTCAAAACTACTGCTATTACAGGTAAATTCACTTGCACGTAGAAAACCAAAAAGCTAGGGTGAACGCAGCTCACAGCATTATGTGGTCTACATTGTAACTTTAGGGAGGCTGCAAATAATTGTAAATTGAAACCAAAATTTGAATAGTTATGGGGTGGCGAGTTAATTTGGGAGGCATTTGGGACCGTTTAATGCCAGTGAGGACCTTTTGCAGGCGATACATTTTTGATAATTTTAATGGAAAGTTATCTTGCCTATGGAGATCTTGAACTGCAAACAGGTAAAGTTTGATTGTATTGTAGCATATGGCTTTGGCCAGGTGGGCAGCGAAATAAATTAAGGTGATTTCGGATGCCGGGAGAAGAGGGGAAGAGGGACCAATGATACCCTGTAAGAGGCAAAAGGAAATAAAGTGATTCTGGCCGACACCATAGGCTCGACGGGTATTAGAGGCCAGCGAGGCACCAAAGTAGTGGTAGACGGATGCTGTTAAATGGCCATTGCTGATGGAGGGATGATGCAGGAGGTGGGTGAGGCATTGGGAGCCAGAGAGTGGAAGCGATCCATCTGAAAACGGGACAGAGAGTCAGCTATAGAGTTGTCCAGCCCTGGGATATGTTTGGCAGTGAAGGTAAAGTTATGTACTAGGGTCAAAATGGTAATGGAGCGGACCAGATCCATGATCCTAGATGACTTGGAACGTTTTGAATTAATGATGGTAACAACAGGGGAGGTTGTCACACCAGAAACAAATACGTTTGCCCGACCAGTGGGGACCCCAGAGAAAGCAGGTAATATAAATAGCAAAACGTTCCTGCCAGTCAATGCTGATTCCAGTAAGAGGGTTAAGGCAGTTCTGAGGGAGCCAGTGGCTTTGAAGCCATTGCCCATTAAGGTAACCACCATAGCCGAGAGACCCATGCAGGCCAGAGGCATCGGTAAATAACTGGAGATCTGGGGAGCAGAGAACAATGTCTTCCAAGAAGAAACTAACCCCATTCCAGTGTTCAAGAAAGGCCAGCCACATGGGAACATCTTTGCGGAATTCTGTATTAAGTTTGATGTGCCATCTAGAGTTGGAAATACCCTTGGTTAAACTAATAATGCGCTGCAGAAAAGCTCGGCCTGGGACCACAAATCTGCAGGCAAACTGAAGGGTACCAATCAGGGACTGAAGTTCTTTCAGGGTAGCAGATTTCTCACGAGACCACTCATGCAAGGCCTCTTTGATCCTGGTTAGCTTGTCCAGTGGGAGGCGGGCTTCCATTTTGTTGGAATCCAGGAGAACACCCATGAACTCCAGGGATGTGATGGGAGGGAAGGTTTTACCCGGGTTAACAGGGATATCGAGCTCTGTAAACAGACAAAGGATGTTACAGAGAGCTATGGAAAGCCATAACTTTCTTATGTGGTTGTTTCTCATTATTTGGTGTGGTTTCTTCATAATGTGTTGTAGTTACTTCATTGTGTTGTGTTGTTTCTTCGTTATGTGTTGTAGTTACTTCATTATGTTTTGTGGTTTCCTCATTTGTCTTGTAATGTAGTCCTGACGTGACGTGATTTTATCATGATGTTGTGTAATAACTTCATTAGATGTTGTGGTTTAATCGTGATGTACTGAGGTTTCTAAGTTATGTTTTGTGCTCTTGTCATGATGTAATGTGGTTACGCTGTTATGTTGTCTGGTATCTTCGCTATGTGGTTTGATCATTACGTGATGTGGTTTCGTCTTTATGTCTTCTTGACCTCATTTCCGATACCAAGCTCTAGTATCCAGGCTTCTTGCTATCACGAACTGGTTAAACCAGTTTTTAGATGCGTCCCAGTTCCTTCTCTTCCTTGGTGTTAAAGACAACAAAATGGAGGAACAAGCAACGACATTTTGTCAACTATACTTGATAAGATGCACCTTGGGCATCTTATTGTGAACTTCCAGCGTGAAAAGGTAACTGTGGATCAAATACGTAAGTTATATTCTGAAGAAATGGAACTTTAAGGTGTGAACGATCGCAACGCAATGATGAATTTAAGGTCAGAGTGTTTAAACTACGGTAGCAATCCACAGCCACGGAAACCAGGAACACAAGCGTGTAGCGCTCCTGAGTACTTATAATTTCTAAGTCAGATTTAGAGGGGTACCTGGAGGATGGCTTTAATATTAAGGACATTGCGTCGTTACGTTTTGTTTCAGAAAGTACTGATTATCGTAGAATGGGTCGTTACGGCCTCAGTCAGTTGCAATTCACAGATATAACAGAAGGTGAGCTTGATGAAGTTGTAGAGGAAATAACTGGGGAATATCCTTCTTGTGGAGAGGGACTGCTAAAGCAAATTAATACTGGCAGATCGGGGAATAAAGGTTCAGAGGATGAGGCTCTGTGACAGCATTCATAGGGTCGATCACGACGGAGTCGAAAACAGGAAGAAAGGCGTCTACGTCGAAGGACCTATAACTTTCAGGTTCCATTTCTTCAAAAGATGGCTTAGATATTTGATCCACAGTTACCTTTTCACGCTGGAAGTTCACAATAAGATGCCCAGGTGCATCTTATCAAGTATAGTTGACAAAATGTCGTTGCTTGTTCCCCCATTTTGTTGTCTTTAACACGGGAAAGTAAAGGAACTGGGACCCATCTAAAAACCGGTTTAACCAGTTCGTGATAGCAAGAAGCCTGGATACTAGAGCTTGGTATCGGAAATAAGGTCAAGAAGACATAAAGACAAAACCACATCACGTAATGATCAAACCACATAGCGAAGATACCAGACAACATAACAGCGTAACCACATTACATCATGACAAGAGCACAAAACATAACTTAACAACCTCAGTACATCACGATAAAACCACAACACGTAATGAAGTTATTACACAACATCATGATAAAATCACGTCACGTCAGGACTACCTTACAAGACATAATGAAGAAACCACAAAACATAATGAAGTAACTACAACACATAATGAAGAAACCACACAACATAATGAAGTAATTACAACACATTATGAAGAAACCACACCAAATAATGATAAACAACCACATAAGAAAGTTATGGCTTTCTATAGAGAGCTGTGAGGCAGTCAGACCGTGGGAGCTTGGTAACAAAAAAGAAGTAATCCAGGATATGGATGACATTATACTAGGAATACCCTGTTTGGTGTTAATAACCCATTCAAGTATGCGGGAAAATTGGTCAAAGAGGAGCACTCCGCAAGCCGAAGGGGAGAACGGTGTCGAAGTAGTACATGCCCCTTCATTTCATGCCTAAGAGTTCCCAGTCTGACGGGCGGACGGGAATGTTGCGGAAGGCAGACTTGATGTCTAGCTTAGACATAAAACACCCCTGACCAAGTTTCTGGATGATCGAGATGGCATTATCAACTGTAATATAATGCAAACAGTGGACTCTCGCTGTAGTAATCTTCACGGAAAGCAAATCTCAATATAATTAACTAGCATAAGTACAGAATCATATTATGATTTTTTTTGTGACACTTTTCTGTCGCGTTTTGCTATCGAATTTTTATGACGATTGTTGTCACGAGTGAGGCAAATTGGGCTTCCCAGCAAGATAAAAGTTAAACGTACAAAAAATGTCAACAAAACTGACGGTAGCATAGAGAGCATCACTTTCTTGTGTGGTAAATAGCAATACATGACGTAAATTAAGGTTCCTAAAAAAAAGATACAATGTTAACAAAACTGACTTTTGCTCCATTGCCTTCTCTGCGCATGCCTGAATTGTCTTCTTGAGATTGCTCCAGTCAAAGCCAGGCTCTTGCCTGAAGTCTGCGATCATAACCGGCAATGAATGAGGATCCCTGTCTTTGAAACAACCAAGATATTCGTATGTGACTGGTTTAACTGTGAAGAAAAAAGTATCTTAGCTACTAATTCAAACTTGTTATGTAGGGTAGCCTGCGTAACCCGCGTTTCCGCATTTTGGGGTGCACATTGAGAATCATCCTCACTCGCCCCAATGTCAGTGGGCGTCCAAAATTAGGAAAATCCAATTCGTACGAAAACGCTTGCTACTCAGGTTACAACTATGAATTCATAAACAACGGCTTATAATAATAACTGCGTTGGATCCTGAATCGAAAGGTGTAGATTAAACCTGAGCACGGATTCTTTTTGTCTTGTTTTGGGCAAGACTACAGTCCTTTATTCTCACAGTACTAATCCTTACAAATATTAGAACGAACTGGCAGTGCTGGGCGAGAATCCAGTATTNGGGGCTGTGACTTCCTTGCCCGAAAAAAATACGCAATGCTCGAATACGTGAGTGTTCAGTGAAATCGGGATGTAAACGCACTCAAACTGCATGAAAATCAAAACCGTTCACAGCTTTCATTTCTAATGAAACTACTATGAGGAAGACATAGGGGCCTATTAGAAACCGAAAAACCGCACAAAAAATCGCTGAAAACCGTAGAACCACAATAAATTTCGTCCAAAACCGGACACCGAACCTCTTTCTGTTATTTAATTTTTGTAGGTCTAAACTTGTTTTACTTTCAAAGTTCTTTCAGCATATCCCCTCGTTTGATACAGAAGCTGGGGACTCTATTCGACACCAGCGTCTCGATATACTCGAGACGTTCTAAGAGCAAAACGAGGAATTGCTAGACGTCCTTCGAAATAGTCATCTTTTGGCCACAGGGACTCGCAGCGTACACTGCAAGCGTTCTTTTAATTTAGAAGCAGCGGAAACAACATGGACGTAATAGAGGAACACCTCCTAAGAAAAATTCAAGAAAAAATTTAAAACACCCCTTTGTTTAGACATTACAAAAGGCTCATTTCAGAGCCACCGCAAAAACAAAAGTCTTGGTCTTCGTTCGTAATTTTGTAATGCCTTATGTCAAGTGCCGTCGCCCGAATCATGAGCGTTTTGCCCGAAAAATTACATAATTTCCCTAGCTGGGGGGCTGCAGCCCCATTCCCCCCCCCCCCAACTCGTAGATGAATTCAATTAACATTCTGTTAGTCCTACATGTAATTTGAAAGAGAAAACGAACTACATTTCTTAACAGCTTAAGGTGCCGAAGGCCTCCCTCGTCGTGCAATCTTCCGCGTTAGGAGGCTTTTTTTTTTTTTTTTTTT